TAAGTGAGAGCCCAGGAATAGGGCAGGAACAATCTGCCTTCTGACCTGGGTCTTCCCAGTGCCAAGCCCAGCCCTCACACCAATTAGGGTGCCTAAATGCTTGTTTACCAGCTGACTGCCCATTAGCCCTGCCCCCAAGGAGCTCAGCCAGCCTGTGCTTACCTGCACATAGTGGGGAGAAGTAGGGGCCTCTAGCCTGCGCATGATATAACGATGCTCACTCTCCCTACCTCCTTGAGATCCTGTGAGAAAAAGGTTCTGTGTCAGCTGGGAAGTGCTGTGGAAATATTCGTAACAACAACAATGCCGATGATTGGCCTCTGGCAAAGGCTCTGCTCCCTAAACAGGACTTCAGAGGGAGCCCCCGCTTCCGGCCCTGAGCTCCACCAGCACCCCTGCAGGGAAGCAGCTGCCAGCGAGCCCAAGCAGGAACAGCCAAGATTTGAGCTGAGGGCTCCTGAGGCCAGGGCCAGCACCTTTAGGTTCATAGACATAGAGAATGGACCTTCACGGTCATCCAGTCCAATCCCTCCCCACTTTGTAGATGACATAACCGCTCCCAGGGGGGATCCGGACCTTGTCCCCTGAGCCAGTCATGATTCTTTCTCCTGTGGCCCAATACCTTAGTGGGGAGGGAGGGATGAGACAGAGAGGGAGAGTTTGGTCCCCTCTGACTCTGGTCACTCCAAGGGCCGCCTCCCTCCCTGCAGGGCCCCTGGCTCCCTCGGCCTGAGCAGATGGAAGCCCTTTCATCCAGCTCCACAGCTCCCAAAGGCCAGCTCTTAGCAGGCTGCAGAGCTACCAGAGGGTACAGCTGCTGGGCAGACAGACCCCTGGGGCCCAGGGCAGCCGGGGGAGTGGGTCAAGGACATGGACAAAGGAGAACAGAGTAGAGAAGAGAGAACCAAGCCCCTAGAGGTGATGTTCTTCAAACTCGGATGAAAGTCAACACATGTGGAGCTGTATGGAGAGCCTACTAAGCCTGAGCTGAGCCCTAGTGCGAGGAGAGGCGGGAAGTGAAAGGTTAGCCTAAAGCTCCCGCCCTGCCCTCCGGGGGCTCACAGGCTGGTGGGGGGATGGGATCCAGCCATGGGCAGCACCAGTTCATGATATTGTTGTTGGGTTGTATCAGAGGGCCCTCTAACACAATGGGATGCTGAGGGGCGGGCCAGGAGTGATGGGAAGTCAGACAAGGGGACTTCCCTGGGGACTGGCATTGGAGTTGGGTTTCATGGCTGGACACGGTACAGAGTTGAGAGCACTTATTGCATCTTCAGAGGTCAGGAAGACACCCCCTTTGACTGAACTCAAGTTCATGGAAGGGAGCAACATGATTGAAGGCTGGAAAGATGGGGTGGTGCTTAAGAGCAAGGCCTTGAGTGCCAGGCAAGGAGATGAAACTGGACTGAGGAGGTTATGGGAGCCACTGACGCTCTGCCATCCAGGAGAAGGAGAAGCAAGGGTCAAAGATAACGCCAAGGTCTCTGATGCACCAGGAGTGGATGGAGGTCCCATAGACAGAGGTGGAGAAAGGGAGAGCAGGAACACCAAAACCCAGGTGGGGGGCTGTTCTGAGTGCCAGATCTCTAGAATGGAGATGACAAGTCCTCCCCTGGTCATTAACAGAGGCCCTCTAATGACGAGCAAGTGGGCACAGGTGGGAGCCAGCGGAGGAGAGGCAGAGCGTGGAACCAGGAGCGCTGGGAGCTGAGTTCCAGGGCCAGCCCTGCCACTGCTCGGCCCTGCATCCACTCTATTCCACTGCTGAAAGGGCAGTGAGCCTTCATGCCAAGCGACATGGAAGTCACGTCCAGTGACACGGTGGCCCCATCCTGTCCTGTGCCCCACCCCCCTCTTGGCACTGGCAGTGGGGGCCAGTCAGCTCCAGGATGTGCTGAAGGTCTCCTGTGAATCCAGCTTTCAAAAAGATTTTACAAAGGTTCTAGGTGGGCTGGGGGCCAGGACATTTGGGGTTCTGGTCCTGTCCTCCTGAGAAGTAGATGGAGAAATCAGTAGGCCCTTCTGACACTTGGGTTTCTTCCCTGGAAATGAAGGGTTCTCTCAAAATTGTGATGTTCTAGGTTCTAAGTTCCCTTTCTGATGTGATGGTCCCTGTCCTAAAGCCCCTCCCAGCTCTGACCTTCCCTGTTCTAAGGCCCCTCTCAGCCTTGACCTTCTCTCTTCTAAAGCCCCTCCCAGACTTGAGTTGATTGTTCTAAGTTCCTTCTGATTTCGCCTGATCTCCATGGAGTCTGACCTCCCCACCACATTTGCTTTCTGCTAGAATTAGGCTCTGCTCTCTTGGCTTTGTGGGTCTCCGAGCATGGCCAGGCTGGGCGTCCACGCCCACGTTTATATGCCCAGTAGTGAGAAAGGGTCCAGAGGCTGGTTCTTGGGGTCTTGTGAAGAGAGCCTCCTGTTTGGGGTCTGACGTCCAAGTGGTCTTCAGCTGAAGCTCTGTGTGTGGTGTAGGACGTGGAACCGAGGCTTCCAGGAGGGTCATCAGTGAGCTCTGGTCAGAGCTGGGATCTGAGCCCAGGCCTCAGGCCTCTGAGTCTGAAGCTTCAGTAAGTTGACCCTTGGCCACGACCCTTGGACGTGCCCTCCAGCCTGGCTGGAGCTTATAAACTCAGCTTCTCAGCCTCATTCCCTGATCGTGGCCCCCCCCC